ACACTTTTTTAGCAATTTTTACAAACAAATGGAGCCCCTCTTGCTCTCAATTGGTGCTAGTTTCTTACTTCTTAATGTAGCAAAAAACCTCCTCCTGCCACCTAAAAAACCTCCTGCCACCTAAAAAACCTTCTGCCACCTAAAAACCTCCTGCCACCTAAAAAACCTCCTGCTACCTAAAACAAAAAGCCACAAACAACTTTTGTGTTTTAGACATAAATAAAATGCAAAACAAAAATAAAGCTAAAATAGACAAGTAGAACAATTAACTCATAATTGAGATGTTCCATGTTCAAATCCACCCTATGCCTCTAAATGTTTAACCTGTATTTCTGTTGGTTTATGTTTTGGAGTTCAAGGTTCAAAGAAAGTTGCAAATAAAATAAATAAAAAGATAATAATGAATCCTTAATTGTAGTGACATCTAGAGACTTGACATGAATTTAATAAAATTTAAAAAAAATTATTAAAAAAAATTTGCAAAAATTGTAATTCACAAACAATAGCATATTTAATAACAATAAGAATTATTTTTTGATATTGAAATTCCCAATAGAATTATTATAGATTAAGAACTAGGTGAGCTAATGCCGTGACTTACAGTTTGGTATACAGTTTATTCTCTGTAATTATTTTTCAGCAAATATCAACATGAGATAGTTATAATGAAAAATAGTAGAGTGAGGTATACAGACCAACCTGTGTATACCTCAGTGAGTGAGGTATACAGACCAACCTGTGTATACCAAACTGAGTGAGGTATACAGACCAACCTGTGTATACCAAACTGAGTGAGGTATACAGACCATGACCTGTTTTAAGAGTCATTTACTGTTACTTTGTAATTTATTTATTGTTGTGGTACTAATAAGTAAAGTAAAATAAAAAGTTTGAAAGTTTAAAAGAATGAACTATGCAATGTCTGATTTATTGAACTAATTGTTTAATTATTTTTATTAGTTATATTAAAATTAACTCACTTAATTACTTAATTTAACTTTAAATTAAAATTTTAAAATTTTTAAATGTTTTTTCTTTTTTTTCTTATAGGATCTATTTAGTGTTACATTGTTTTTTTTTTCTTTGTTTGAGCAAATATTATAAATTATATACATTCATATACAAACTAAAATAACATTATAAATACTAAAATAACATTATCACTATATTTATCAATACATTTCTATAACTAACCAATCCTAAAGAAATGCTGGCCAACCAATCCAATGATTTTTTATTACCAAATGCCATTCCATAAAGTAGTATAACATATCCTAATCCTAAAATTGTTGTAATGCAAATAATCCAAGAGATGTATAAAAACCAATGTGGAAAATAAAACGGTTTTTTAGTTTGTGACATTAATTTTTTCGAAAATCCATCTTCCATGTTTTCAAATTTTAAATCTGAAACAAATAATATTTATAAATTGATTGTTAACATTTAAAACACTACAAATGTAAATTATAAATCAAAATTAAATAATAACAACTTGTCATTGTTATTATGGGTTAAAAATAAAACATTCAAAAGACCATGCCATAATGAAGACCGACAAAAAAAAAAGAGTTTTAATGGTATAAACATAAAAACTTTTTTTATTTCCTAAAAAAATTATCAGTTGGAAAGTATTTTTTTTTAAATAATTAAAATCTAGCTTTTAAATTTCTACAAGTGTACAAGACATGGCAAGGATATTTTAAAACATATACTTAATCACATATTAGAGTACATAAAAAAATTGTAAATTGAAGAGAGCTTTTTTAATTTTTTTTATAAACTAACTCAGTCTTAACAAGGTTGCCAAGCAACCATTATTAACTTGGGAGTTACTAGAAAAAAATAAAAAGATGCAAATTAGCTGACTAAGTCAAGTGAGAATAAGTTTTCATTGATAAAAGAGATAACTCGTTTGAGCAGCAACCATGTAAAGAGTAAAATAGATGCAACATTACAACAATGGGAGAATGGCTCAAGCTGGCAGATAGAGCAGGTCTGAATACATTTACAATGCATTTTTGGACTTTGTCTAAAAAGCATCATTAGAAAAAACAAATAAGGGGTCAAGTTTTTTTATACAGGGACGAAATAATATTTATAAAAGTAGAGAAAGGAATCAGGAGTATGATAATAGCAAGCAAGGTAAAGAGAAGCAACCTTAGCAGATGAACTTTGCAAGAGTTAGCAGAACAAACTGCCACTTTGCAACATTATCAGAACTAACTTTTTAATGGATTGTATATATTGTTTCTATGAGACTTCATTTGTAAATGACAGTACAAGAAATCATAAAAAAAAAAGACTTTCATTAATATAGGAATGTCAACAAAACTGGGACAGTTATATGCATTAAATTATTGAGTTTTTTTTATATAAAGTTAAAATTCATAAGCTACTGCAAGCCCCAAGTTGTTTTAGAAAAGAGATCAGATTCAAAATCTAAGATGCCTGTTCTAAGAGATAGAAAAGTGAAAACCATTTGTCAAGACAAGAGCATAAATTGAATCTTCAGCAAATAAAGACACTTTAGATGAGAGATTTTTATTTGCCAACTTTAGTGTTAGGATTTTTTCAATTTAGAGAAATAACTATTTAACCATTTAGAGACAACGTTCTTCAAGTTTTATTCATCACAAAGTTCATTATTTGTACACGAAAATAAATAAATTAATCAAAAGTATAAAAAAAAGTTGATTTCCTTCTGGACAAAACAAGTGCAACTCCACAAAATGTTGACCAAGTTGTATTTTGCTATCAATATTTCGTGGCGAATCCTTTGTTATCGATCACAGCCTTGCATCTTCAAGGCATAGATTTGATCAGGTGATTAATGAAACTTAGTGGAATCGCTGCCCAGGCCTTTGGGATCTGTTCAAACAGTTGATCCTTATTACGAACACCTTCACAACTAATTCTGCGGTTGACATCTTTCACAGTATTTTTATATGGCTTCAACAGCACGCCGTCTGATTGTTCAGTCTGATACAGGCAGCTCTAATTGCTTTTGTATCTTGACTGATGATATTCAGGGATCCTTCTTGACGGATCTGACATTCATAGAATCCTCTCTAGAAGTGGTGGAACGCAGTCTTCCACCTTGTTATCTGCTGCCAACTTCCCCGTAGAACGATATTTGGAACATGTTCTTGATACGGTCCATTTTTTCACGCGATATTTACTACTAATACTTTTTTGTGACATACCACTTACATAATCTGACTGTCGGGAGCCATTTTTGCACTTGAAGTCATAAAAATAATAAAAATAAATAATCACGCTTCTTAAGGCTTACCGTATTACATTTACCTTGTGATGATACAATAATGCTCTGTGGAACACAACGTCTTGGTTGGATGTGGACTGTATTGATGTAATGAAACACTTGTTGTATTTCACTTTTTGTATTGATGTTCTTCGATAAAACACTTTGATAAAACTCACTTCGATAAACTGTCTTGATAGTACTGACTGATTGACTTCCATATACTGACTGAATTACATGTCGGTTTACATGTCTCTTATACAGTAAAATGAACCTGTGTGAACCTGTTCATTTCAAGATTCACCTGTTCATCTGAAGATTCTAGATGCTTCTTTTCGATGCTTCTGGAAGCTTCTGGATGCGTCTGGATGCTTCTGAATGTTTCTGGATACTTCTTCTGAAAGCTTCGATGTTGGTTGCAAATGTTTTGTCCAATACTGTAGATAGAAAATAATACAGAACCAAAGATAAAATATTAAGGTAAAATAAAATCCTAGAAGCTACTAATAATGACAAAAAGTGTTTCAAGGATGACTTAAGTACTGTAGTTAGAAAGAAATTATTCAACTATCTGAAAGAGTTTTCTATATGACCATAAGAAGCAGGCTAATGGAAAAGACCAGTATACAAAACTTTATCAAAAGCTTTTGATAAAGTTTTGCATGCTGGTCTTTTATATGCAGTTATTAGACTCAAGTTGTTAGAAATTTGTTGATTAAAAACTATAATGCTATAATAGAGAAAAGACTGATTGAATGATAGTTCTCCAGAGTTTTTTTTGAACAATGATGCCATTTACCAGCAGGCCAAAAAAAAAAAAGATTCAATCAAGCACTTATTAAATAGTTTAGAGAGAATCGAAGAGTGTTCTAGAGGACACTTTTGTAACGCTTTTACAGAAATGTTGTTTTGAAGACAAACTTTAGAAGAGTTTTATTAAAAAATGACTTTAGAAACATAAGCCAGAGCAATTTGGATGTCTAAGAATGAGTTACCTTTTTAAGGCAAATGTCTAAAAGTCCACCAAAAACAATTATCTGGACCACAAAATTGTCTGGACCACAAGCCGTAGAAGAGTTTAATCAAGATATGACTTCAGCAACAGAAGCTAGAGTGATTTGAATGTCTAACAATGGGTTAGACATTCAATATTGGTTTATACCTACCTATTTATACAAATATTATATTATATAATAATAAATACAATATTGGTTTATACCTGGTTTAGAAAGAAGAGTATGACAACTATATTTAACAGTCATTATAGAAAAAAATATTTGCAAATAGTTCTGCCTTAATTTTGGGAGAGTTAATAAAATCAAACCCATAAATTAAAGATGGAATAATCGACTTACCTTTGTTAATGAAACACAAGCTAGAGTCAGATAAATCAAAATAATAAGACACAAATCAAAAGTTAATGTTAACATCCTTAACATTTTGTTTAACTTGTTTACAATTCTTTTCAGCCATAATTTGAACCATCCTTTAAATATTATTAAATCACCACAATGATAGTGATCAGAACTATATGGAAAGTCACAAAGTTAACTATCAAACTGTCTAAGTAAGGGTTTGAGAAATTTAGAAGTTTAAAATTTAGAACTTTAATGCCAGCAGGGTCAGTGATTTTAGAGCCAAGCTATTCAGTGGGACATGCATTAAAGTCACAAGTAACAACAACATTTGCAGAGGGATAAAGAGGTGTAAAGTGGAAGCACATAAAAAATGGTCAGAGACTTCAAACCTAATTTTTTGACAAACAGTTGAATTGATGAATAGTTGAATGATTAAAGACAGATAGTTAAATGACTACCAAAAACTATAAAACACAAAACACCAATCACAAAGTGCTCTAAACTATCATTCACTAATATTTGTGACCTTTGAAGTAACTTTTCTTCTGTTGAGTCTTATCTTATGCAAAGTTCACCAAAATTCACCTACTTGCTCTTTGTGAGATTAGTTTGAGTTTGGCTGTCTCATCTTGTGATCTCAGTGTTGATGGTTATCTTCCTTTAACTTGTAAAGACTCCAATAGTCACACGCTTGGCCTAGGCATTTAAATTTGCAAGAATTTTCTCATTTTTCTGGAAACTAGGTTTGAATCCACAGACTAATCTTTTGTGTGCTTTCATTTAGCACCACTTCACTCCATCGCCTTTCTTTTTATTCTATATCTCTCTCCTCCATCTCAAGACTGCATTCTTTTCAATGTTGATCAAATTTACCAAGCCCTCTCTCTTTATCTCTTAGCCAATATAATTTTTGTTGATGACTAAAATGCTCATCAAACTGAATGACTTATCTCAAGTGCTAGTCACTCTGAAGGCGTTAAGGGCCACAACTTTTGCCTTTCTCAATCTCTAACTCAAATAGTCAACTTTCCAACTCATTTTCCAGACAACCCAAATCCTTTACCTTTTTTACTCAAATTATGTCTTGTTTCTGATCTTAGTCAGTGCTCAGTTTATCCACATTTACCCTTAGGTGCTTCTGATCATGGTTTGATCTCTCTAAAACTATTATCTCATTCTTTTTCATCATCAGAATCCCCCTATCCTTGTACCACTTATAAATACCTTAAAGCTGACTTGGGTAGAAATCTTTTGTCTTCCTGCTGATAAATGTGCTTCTTACATGATTTTTTGGATTCAGGCTGGGGTGGGATCTTTTATTTCTTCTTGAGAATTCCAAGACAAGCCTCACTCTATTCTTTGGTTTACCTCACATTGTGCCGCTGCAATTTCCAATCGAAACCATTACTTCCATATCTATCAGCAAAGCAATTCTCCAGAAAACAGACGTCTGTTTGGTATTGCTAAAAACCATTGTAAAAAGGTTTTGCCTAATGCCTAAGCCTGCTATTCTCAGGTCACAAAATCTTGAACTTTATCTCAAAAAATAGGTTCTCATGAATTCTGGAGAATTTTTAACAGTATCAATAATAAGAGCAAATCTGTTATTCCACCTCTCTTGTATGGTTCAGATTATGTCACCTTACCTAAAGACAAAGTTGAATTGTTTGCTAAGACCTTTTCATCAATATCATCTCTTGATTCCACTAGTTGTTACTACTATCTACCTGGTATTGCAGACAAACAAAGTTGATCCATTGCTTGACATTCTTATTACTCCAGCTTC